ATTGTATATTTTCACAGCCCTGTGATAAGAAACTTTGGAATGCATGGTTGATAAGTCGTTTAGCGAGGCTGCAAAAAATTTGCATTTTTATATCTGAAATTGTAGGTAATGGTTTTGAATATCGAATTGCGATATATTACACGGTTAAGATAGGGCTATATGTCTTGTCGTAAGCGGCGACATAGAGTCGATGTCATTTCAATAATCGCCCCGATGGCCACGGTAGTTGTGTGCCGTCTGCCCACGTAGCAAATGGGAGGCGAAAATGGAAGTCATCAGTGCATCGGTGAGTGTTGAACGTGAAAATTGCGCGGGCCGCGCAAATTTCGCGATCATCGATGTGTCGGGGCTGAGCATCCATCATTTTCTATCTTGTTTTGAAGCTATGTGAGTTGTGATAAAGTACATAATTTTTTTGTATTATATTACTGTATAAATAGTGTAAAATTTGTACAGAACTTTGTACAAAATAGTTTCTTGTAAAAAGTGTGGACTACTGCCACGTCGTTTCCATACAAACTCCCAATACGCCGCAAGTACCACAAATGCCCATGTTAACCAAATCACCTCATCATCCATTTTTTAAGGACACAATTTTTAATTCAAATCAACTTACTTTATCAAAACTCCAATCGTTTATCAAATAACATATATCGAGTCATTTTAACAAAATCAAAGACGGCATAATATCATTTATCACACAGCCAAAAACCTAACCTAGAAACCACGATGTTTACAAACTCAAATTGGAGAACACTCATTGGTCCAATAATAAAAATTGATTTGCCGCCTTTTTTCTTTGCAAGCAAAACGTGTGAACATGTCTGAAAATGGGATCGGGCGTCAACACTCAACGATGCACTGATGACTTCCATTTTCGCCTCCCATTTGCTACGTGGGCAGACGGCATTAGACGTTTACGGTTTCCTTGGTAACCTTTGTTTGCTATCAGCTGATATCGAGTAATATGACTAGGAAGCTCCAACCCAGTGGTTGGAGCTTCCTTAACCGCGAAAACTTTAAAATTCAAATTTTCAAATTTTGAACGTAAAGTACATTTTTTCCATCACGAGATTAAAGCACAGACAAGTTTTGAATTATTGACTGTATCACCATGATTCCAAAAATACACTTCACAACATAGCATTGGCTAACAATAAAACAATATGCAATAAAATAAAGTCATGACAAGGAGCATAGCCGAAAATGGCGCCGATTCCCATTAACCAACGCGCGGTCTCTCCAATGTAACATGGTCCAATGATACTCCCCAGCTGGGACCGTCCGGAATAGCAGCTCTAGTGCAAGCACCAGAGCCGCTAAAAATGTTACAAACAAAATAACCCGATATAAATCAATTGAGATGCATTTCCGAAGGATAAACTCGCCGTTAGAATACTGCTCGGAGCGTAAAACAATGGAAGAATATTGGAAGTTGGGTTCGAACCCAACATGCAACTATTTTAACTCCGCGGTAGGCCGGGTTGCATACGCTAGATTTTGCGGGCGAAATCCTAGATCTCGCAATAGAGTACGGGTGCAATTTGTGTTTCCTCTAGAGAGGCGTCTATTTCGGTCAACTATTTGGACGCTAGCGCTCCTGTCACACGGATTTGTAACGCGATATTGACTAACTTAAATGCTCTCCGAAGACGAACTCAGCAGGTATTTGAATAGTGCGTTGAGCGTAAAATAATAAAAGAATATACGGAGTTGAGTTTGAAAACAACATGCAGCTATTTTAACTCCGCGGTGCACTCGAAGAAAACGCTGATCGCACCTGTACCCTATCGCGGAGGCCATATACCGCGGGCGGGCGCAGGCTGTGGGCAGATCTCAGATTTCGCCCGCAAAATCTAGCGTATGCAACCTGGCCCACCGCGGAGTTAAAATAGCTACATGACCCAACTTCGCATATTCTTCAATTGTTCTTCGAATTGTTTCCAACAGAAAGAGCCATTGTTTTATAAACATGGTTCCGTTTAATTCACAAACTTGAATTGGGGATAATTTTGACGGGGAGAAAATCGATTTAAACATACATACAGAAAAAAAAAAATAAAATAAAGTAATAGCTATGAGCAAATAAATAAAAGGACAACTTAACTCTTTATGAATCAGTGAAACCTAATAAACAAATAAAGTATAATGTGACGGTTCATAACTTTAATTCGTTGTGTTTATTATAAAATATTGAAGCGCGCTCAGAGATCTACATCGTACATTGGTAAGAGCGTTTAAATATTACATTTGACCTACTCTAATTTTACTGCGAGATTCGCGATTACTATACGAGTTTTTTGTTCAAACTTTTGGTTGTTTCGTTGAGTGCTGAGCGCATGGGAAAAGAGACCGTTGTGTAATAATGAACTTACCTGCCTCGACGCGGCGCCCGCCCTCTTGCGTTGAGGTATCGCCGGATATTTGTTCTGCTGGAAATGTTCCCATGCGAATTTCCGGAAAGATTCCTCGCTGAGGAATTGCTTTTCCCAGGAAGTCAAGCCCGCTCTTTGCCAATTTTTCCCTCCACAGTTCCGGTTCCGATAGCGGAATCGACCAAGTATTTCTCTATGAAATCTTTTTTCATTTTCTTTCGAAATTAAAAAGTATGAGCTTAAAACTTGGCCCATAATTAAAACTTCTTAAAAAAGTAAATAAATGAATTCTTTGCACTGTTTTACTTTTGGGTTTATTCGGCTCTGCAGGCGGTAAAACTATCTTGCTCGATTTTGATAGACGTAAATCTCCGTCTTCACTTTCATTCTGCCTCTGTTCCATGCCATAAAGCACGAGTTGGAGGGTGGAACTTCAAAACCCAGTAAATGCCATTGGGTGTCGTTAAGATTGTACACATTTTCCTATTAATTTTCTTTGTTTCTTTCTTTTTTCTCATTTGGAGAAAAATTAGTCATGAAAAGTCAATGTATCGAAGATATTTAGGCTCTTTCGTAATAAGGAACAACGTATACACGATAGCACCTGATGATGCTCACTAGGTTTGAATTTCCATTCTTCCGTTTTTAAAACACCCATCAGAATCAGCAGCCTGATTGTTGAAAGTTTAACTGGCTACGTCGGCACGATAAGACAAGACGTAGCCCCATATGCACCGTGTAATACAGCGATTTTCGAGTCTTGTCGTGCTGACATAAATTTCAACAATCAGGCTGCCAGAGCTCTTTATAACCTCTCAGTATACCGAACCTTTTACAGCTAACCTTATTGGACACCGTACCCTTGCTTTTCGGTTTTCAGTGGTGAGAAAGGTTCCCAACTCGTAAACCAATCTTTAGAGAGGAGAAATGACTTTCCGGTAGTCGACTAGCTTCCGGCCAGTAATCCTCTTTTGTGAGAATAATCGGAGAGGAGAAGAGGTCCAGTGGCGCGGTGAACTTCGCGCTATATCGATTGATCTGCCATTTAAACCCATGGAGAAGAATCGAAGAACAGGGTGTTCGCAACAAACACTTTAATAATCGATTCTTTACCACAGCTTCAAATAGAGAAATATCGATAATCGATCATTCACGCCTCCCTACTGAAGAGGTCCTGAACTGAAGCGGGCGACAACATTCGCTAACGTCATCCATAGACAAAGGCTTACAAGGAGCTTACAAGAATCTTCCAAAGCATCACGACGAAGCGTAATCCCATCCAATGTGTTTATTACATGATACGCAATTTTCAGAGCAGCGCGACAGGTGAACCGGGGTCACTGGGGGTTCAAGTCGATGCGCCATCAGGATCATTACCTGTCGATCCAAGTCTGAAATCGAAATCTGTCCGACGCGGCGACGGGGGCGGATGAAACGAGGAGAGGCGAGACAGAAAACTAAATAAAAATCCGTGGGATTGAAGTTTTTTTTCCGGAGGGAATAAGCGATGTACTCATGTGCGAAATAAACGGTGGCTTGCCTCACCGAGACGGGACAAAACGCAGAAAGGCGGTATTCATTCGGTGAACCTTACTAAATTTCCAGGTGAACCATATCTATATATAGTTCACGAGGGCAATCTTGTGTGTGTGAGAGGAGAGAGGGGGGAGAGAGGGGGAAGAGAGGGAGAGAGATCTTTCTACCGAGTGTCTGATAAGATTTACGACTCACCCGGAGATGCAAAGGAACCTTCATTTTGTGACGTGATCAAAATGGCAACAGTTAGCTGCAATAATGAGTTTAACGTTGAACACTGACGATTTTACGGGGGGTGCCCGCGGTTTCACGGGTAAAATTCCAAAAGCGCAAACCCCAAGCGCCAATGAGGATTTACGCTTTTGAGAGGATGAATCAGGGAGTTTTTTGCGTAAATGATTGCCCGTAAACTAGAAAAAAAAAGAAGACAAGAAAAACTTTACCTGTGTCAGACATTTTGATTGCAATGTGACGCTATTTTTATTCACGCGATATTGGACAATATTTGCCCAAAAGACAATCGAACACAAAGGTACAGTGAATATGTTTGTGAAAGTTGTGTGAAAGCGCAAATACCACGATAAAGTAAAACTTGCGCAGTACTGCCCGTTTGCGGTGCGAGGCGAGAGAGTGCCTGGAGCGTTAAAGCGCCTTCAACTCCGTACATATGCAACCCGGACATCCGTAGGGTTCGAATAGTCGCATCCACGCCTTGAAAAGAAATTCGTTCAGTGTTCGTCGCAGTGTACAACTACTTACTAACCGAGAGCGCTTTGCTCGTTTGTTTTACACTATGAGACCATGACTTAATGCCAGCATTGCCTAGTATGTCCATTGTCTATGTAGTAATCTGTTACTGGTCTTTATTGCGAAAATGTAAATTTTCCGAGGATCGCAATGATTGCATTCATATTTTAAAAAATACGACAGCAATTTAAACTACTATGTAAAATTTTTGACATCTTTGGTTAGGAACACGTTATTTTTATATTTTATTATATAGGGGCCAAAGATAATATTTAGCGCAGAAGTAGGTACTTACAAAGTCCTTAGACTCCACGAAAAAAAGCTCCAAATCTATAAACTCACCTATCTGCAACAAACAAAAAAATGAACAATATTAGCCACGTCAATATACAAAAAAAAAAAAAAAAAAAAAAAAAAAAAAAAAAAAAAAAAAAACAGAAATTACAATAACGGCAACCCACGAGAGACCCTTTAGTTAGTCCATCATTAACCCCCTCAGTCTATCGGCGCCACCCATTTCAACTAATAGGATCGCTCCATAGTCCCCATGTCTCCTTTGTCTATCAATTTCAATAATCGGGCCGCAGGGCTCAAAAGTCACGACGTTCGGGGCTTTCCCGCGACAAGAAGCGCACCGCGTTAAGTTGCGTCGCTCGGCGATGGCTGGTGGCCAATGGACGTTGGGCAAGGTCATCGGCATCTGGGAGGAAGTCCAGGACCGGGTTCGCGGAAGATCCTGCCGGACAAGAATCTACTATCAGCATGAGCCGCTGAACCTGCTGCTCGGTGCCCTCTCGGAATCGAACGTGGATCTATCCACCGCGTATGCGTGTCCGCCGTTTAATTGAATACCGCCTCGGCATGCAGGAGCCTCCACCGCTAAAAATACCTAATGACTATGGACAAACTCGGACTGCTAAACGCTTGCATTCTTGGCAGAGTATTTTCCTTCTCGTTCAAACTGGGAAATCGTATCGTTTGTAATACTCGTTCTATTCACTTGCTAGAATAATATTGAAATCCTCGTCGGTGCTTCCATTCCACGTCCGTCTAAAGTTCCGAGATTTGAAACTTTTTTGTTCCAATTTCTCTCACTCCATAGCTGTCAAAAGTTTCGAGACTCCTTGTGGATTTTTTCTAAAGTTCCGGATAATGCAGAGGATCCGGAACATTTCGGGAATTTGAAAGTTCCGGGAAAAATTCCGGGAATTCTCAAGAGTTCCGGGAAACGGAAACACTGGTCCTTGCAGAGGCGCAACTCACCAAGCGCGGGCCCACCTGAAGACCGAATTTCTCGGCCCTTCTCGGTGCCACCCCCCACCACCCCCCGAACTTGATTAAGGGATTTTTAAGACAACATTTCAAAATTCCAGCAGGCGACTGAGCCCCCACATTGCAGGCCCAACATTTAATTTACGCCACGGATTGTGAGTCCTTGACTTGCACTACCAAGCAAAAAACGAGTGATTCCTTGAGGGGGGGAAATGCTGAGAGCATGTTGTCTTCTGTTTTAACGACTTAAATTGTTTTACGACTGATCAAAGAAATGACCATGTCAATAGAATGACGGACGAAAGGCTGCCAAAGAAGCTGCTTGACTGGGTTCCTCCTGGGAGGAGACGAAGGGAACGCCCGGAGAAAGGGTGGCGACAGGGGTTTTTAGAAGAAATAAGGGTTTGCCAAATCCCTGAAGGGCTTTGGGAGGATAGCGGACTTCGGCGGCTAGGGGTCGCAGAGCGCCAGAGAGCGCCAGAGAGAGCTATAAAAGCGGCTTTAAACAACAACCAAGGAAATTTTCTTATTCTTACCTACAAGGGAAACTCTTGTTGTTCCGTTTAATTGTTCAGAGACAACTGTAAACATTTTGCAGAACACTGAATTGAGTCGAGCGTGAAAAAAATTGACTAGAGCTTTGAAGAGACTGGTTAAGATTTTCGATTTCTGTTTACATTGTGCAAATATGTAATAATTCCAATTTTTACAACCAAAAAAGTATTCACCGAAGCCGGGCTTTGAGCAGGAACGGATGAAACTGATACACGAGAACGTTCGTCCTGCCGTCCTCAAGGAGTTGATCGAGTCTATAACTCCAACGCAAGCACATGGGCAGGTTGGCCAGCCACTCACTCGGGCCAGGCCAGGGCGGCGCGGTGCGCGGCACGATGTGACGACCAGCTTCGAATTCCGCACAATTGGAAATCAGCCACGTTGTCAACTCCGAGTCGGTTACGAAAAATTGAGAATCTACTTATCAACTGTTTTTAATTCGCACCCTACGAGAATCCATTTGACCTAGGGAGAAAGGCAAAAGTTGTCATGAAAGAAAGACCGAAAAGGGTGGATTTTCCAATCTTAAGAGTACGAAGCGGAAAAATGGAGGACCTTGCATGGCGAGTAACACTATGTAAAATCTGTTGGAGCTGATCAGTGGCCAAGTTTTGAATTTCCGATTTTAACAAATGACGTGTCGCGAAAACTTTGCAAGATAATTGCAAGTTTCTTAATCAAATCGCAAGCTGCGATATTGCCTTTAAAAACATGACAATTTCCTGGGAGATTTGCAAGCCGTTGATGATTAAAATAAAAGAAACATTCAGAATAATGATCAAAAAATCATGTTTATTCATTTTTGAATGTTATAATATTCTTTTTATCACTAGCAGCTTGGAAATTATCCGGGGAAAATGAATATTAATTATGCAATTTAATTAATCATGCATAAATAAGAAGTAGAGAAAGAAAAGAGGCGGTTTCAGATTTGTTCACACCATGCCAGGTGGGTGCAATTGGCGAAAACATACACGTAATATCCGAAATTTCGATTGGTTTATCCTGGCTGTTACTCATGCTGTAACCTTCTACTACTACTCCGTATATCCTCACCATTCGGCAAAAGTCACAAGCGCTATGCGACGTTTAAAAATTTCCGCCGCCATTTTATTTCTTTGCAGAGAAATTGTTGGTTGAACCTGTTGGAAAATTGCACTGAATTTTATCGGTAGCACAAAGGAAATTCGGACAGCTTCGTTGAACCATTTCTCTGTGAGAAAATAAAACGACGACGGAAAATTTTAAACGTCGCGTCGTATGGCGCTTCTGATGCTTGCCGGAAGGTGACAGTATCTTCGCGGAAAAAATAGGGTAGTCGACACAACCAGCGGCTGGTTAAAAATGCGCCAGCTACCGTGCGGTAGTTACGATAACTACCGCGGTGGAAGCACAACTAACCCGGTAGTTACATCAACATGTGTTAATTCTTCCCCCATTTATTAACGCGACGACGACCATGCTACTTCCCGCGCTTGGATCCGACACTGGTTCCGAAACGTTATCGAGTTGAAGCATTGATACCTAGAGTTAAGACAACTCGATTATCAGCTGACTGGCAGCCGGCCTTGGCTGGTCATGGAGGCGCAAACGAGTGCTCCCAAACGAACGATATTGAGGGATAAGGATCAGGAATCCTGCGATGTCTGTCATCCAAAAACAACAGCATCAACAAAATTGATCAATTAAAAAGAAAATGAGATTGGTTTGTGAATAATTTCTTAATCTATTTTCATTTTGGACCGATGGAAATTACAATTTACTCTTGATAAACCACAATTAGGTAATATTTTCATTATTTTCGTTCGCATTCGAGTCACCGCCATCTTGGTGCACTCGTTTGTGACTCCATGAGCGAGAACCAATCAGAATTGGATTTTTTTTTAGGCCACTTTCAGCCCAACCAAAAGTGAGTTGTCGTAACTCTGGGTATAAAGGGACTCTATTCAAAAGGTTCTGTTTCGTCGACGAAACTTGGATCTGGTGACGAGCGCTTGAGAGTAAGCTGGCAACGAAGAACTGATCGGGGGCCCGATGAGAAGTAGCAGGAATCGTGCGTGGAACTATTGCGCATGGGGACGAATTCCGAGGCAGCAAAAAACTGGCAGCGGCATTGCCACCGGCACGAGTTGTGCTTCATTCGTCACAGGCGAATCTCATGCGAACCGACGAGAACCACCATCCACCCCCGTCCAGCCCGACTTCGGAGTGACCGCGACGCGGGATCGCTCAGTGCCATCTTAACATACCACTCATCGAGAAGTGAGGTTAGAATCTCTCGGTCAAAAACAGAGAGAAGAGACCCTCCACTGGTATCTTGACAATGCACCACTAGCATTGACGTATAATACAATCTAGACCGCGCATTAGAAAATTTTGGCAAGACTAGAGTCCCTTCAGGCGAGACGATAAGCAACCCAGCAACACTCAGTAAGTGTACCGACCGAGACAATGGAAATGCCAGTCTTATCAGTGCCGTTGCCTGATACGGGTACACTTAGCTCGTATATCCGGCGGTATTAACTAGGCTGAAGGCGCATCTTTACCCCCCTAGCTGTCTTACCTTCCCCGCCTAAAGTCGGGCCCAATGCGCGGTCTAGATTGTATTATACGTCAATGACCACTAGACAAGGAACGAGGACCTTTTTGACTGTTGACAGACTGTTGAGAACTTGAAAAAGCGCCACTGTCTCTCACAACGTCGAACTCGTAGATGAATATTGTAAAAAGGAGAAAAAAAACCGACAGGTTGCTGGTTTTTTCAATATTACACATTTTCTGACTTTTGCCCTGAGTTTTCAAGGATTTTGAGTGAAGAAATGCATTACATTGGATCATACGGAAAAATTCTATCTCTGTCATAATAGAGCTTGTGATGTGTGATTGGGTCATTGAGAAATAATAAAAAAAAGTTTCCCGAATTTTCGAGGAAGATTAAAATTCACAGCCTTTTTAAAAACTTACCAGGCTGAAAAATTAAAAAACCAGAGTCTCGGCTGAAGCTCAGATCGATTACATCAGGAAGTGCGTCGAGTGTTAAGCGCACCCGCTGTATGCTCCATGGACTACTGAATGCACGCAATATAGGGAATGTGGCCCGTGCGCGCGAAGAGGTGCACGGGTACGCATTGTAGTCGGATGAGTCATCCAAACCCCCCCCCCCCNGGGGGGGGGGGGGGGGGCGAAGCGATGTCAAAGTCACGGGACCTGCCTCAAACCGCGGTTCCACCGTCAGCGCGCGACGCTGAGTTGTAGCCGCGCCAAGTCGAGCCATGGAACCAGAGATGGAAAATGAAATTTCATAAGGCTCGAATAAATTTCACAAAAGCTGAAATTTATTAATTTTTTTAGAATTATTGATTGAACCTTTGGAGGTCTGAAAGCGTTTCAGATCGTCTTTCTGTTGATGCTGCGGTATTATGCTACTCTACTGAAGGTGCCAGACACAAAGAGGGGGCAAAAAGGGGAGTTTAGAGAGAAAAACCCCGACTTAACCTCTAAACTTCACGAAAACATTTG